AACACAACCAGACTCACTAGTCACCTTACCATACATCAAGGACATTTCAGAGATGACCACAAGACTACTCAGACCCTTGGGAATCAGAGTAGCCCACAAACCAACAACCACCCTCCAACAGCTACTGATGAATATAAAGGATCCCATACCCAAAATCAGTAAAACCGGTGTAAGATACAAAATACCATGCAAGGGCTGTGAGAAACACAACATAGGCCAAGCTGGAAGAAAACTGACAATACAGATACACAAGCACCTACTGGCCACCAAGAGACACGGCCGACTCTCACTACACACGGACAACGAGGGACACAAATTCGACTGGGACAACACATCGATAATCACACAAGTCAAACAGAGACACACCAGGGAATTCCTGGAGGTCTGGTATTCCAACCGGAACTCCATCAACAAACACATTGAATTAGACCGTGTGTACAAACCACTGAGAAACAGAACCAGAAGTACCACCCCAGCAAACCAAGGCATATAAATGACAAGTGGGACAGAACACCGGTGCTTCACCGGAGGCGCACTGACGATGTTACCTAACAGGGTGATGAAACGTTTGCAACCAAACACACTGGCTCGGCAAGCATGTCTACAGCTTCATCCACCATCCTTACCTGGCCTGGCCTACATGTGACTCCAGACCCAAAGCAACGTGGTTGACTCGGAGCTACCCTATGGACAACTAGGGATGGGCAATAAATGCTGGCCTTCCCGGCTATACCTTCATCCCATGAATGAATAAACAGAGGTGTCAAAATCTTTTCTCCTAGACGTCACACTCATCTTATCTCTACTACTGAACCTTCCTCCCACCAAGGCTCATGCTCCGACACTCTCATTATTGCCTGCAACATATTCCCTCACTCACTGTTACCCATCCCAAACTCCAACACTACTAATCCTGCACACTGTCTGCACTGCCTACTCCCTTGCTTGGGACACCTCCCCACCTGCACGGAAAGTAACAGCTGTGCCATCCATTTTCATCTCCCATGTTCCCAGCCTCTCTCTCGCTCAAGGAGAAAAAAAAGCCCTCAATAGGGCAGAAAGACTCAAGACAGGTAGTGAGCTGCTTAAAACTTGACTCTTCATCACTTACGTGGAGAGCATCCTGATGCTGACTGAATGTGTACAAGCTATTGGAGGTTTCCCTTGACTTGCTGTGTCGGAATCTCCTAAACAAAGGCTTATCCCCCTTGCTTTGACTGAGACTGAAAATATGCAATGACAAGTCTCCTTCATTCGTGCCTGTGCTAAACAGCAAGGCAAGACAGAAATAATGTGAGCCTGACATATTTGACTGAGGAGCAAAGTATATCAAGGCAAGGCAATGCAAAGCAGGGATTCTGTGAGCATGGAGTTAGGTTCAGAATGAGTGAGCAATTTGACAGTGAACAAAGAAACCAGAGATGCAGCCTGGTCCAGTCCATGAGCTGCATGATTGTGTGTTCCTGAGTGCACAGTGTCCTTGCTGCAGCGTCACAATGATAGTTACTAAGGCAGCCCAAGGTCCAGCAGTGAAGTGCAGCAGCATCTTATAAATAGATTGGAGATATACCATGAGTGGTATCAGAGACTGGCACAGGATAGACGCCAACATCCATGGACATTTGTTGCACATGACCAGTGTCCATGAGCATGCCCTGAAATGTTGATGCCTGGTGTCCAACATGGAAATAGTTCAGAGCGAATAGCAAGCTGAACTCGCCTGGTACCTGCTGTAATTTCCATGTTAAGATTTATTGACGTCTAGCTTGGGTGACACATTTGGTCAGATGGGAAGGTGAATATTAATGGGATGAGTTGCACTTTTAATAAGTTGTTTAACAAGCAATATCCCCCTCAAATTGTAATTTCCTGCTGTTTAGCAGGAAACTCATCACACCACTTACCAAATGCATAAATGCTCCTGACATTGAGGTGGGCCTCACCAGATTTCTGGTGTGTTCTGCCATCAGTCCCACTATAGCCCAGGCTGTGCAGACCCCTATAAGATTCTGTCCTGCGTGTTTAATGATGATGCCCATATAGAAATTGACATACAGGCATGATGGACTTTTTTGGCATAAAAATCAGCGTCATGAACTGCCTCAGGGTAGCCAGCTCACCAGACAGCCACTTAACAGCCATTGGGCAGTTAATCAGATTAAGCTGGCCTTTTCACCTTCAATGGCAAGGAAGTCTCACTTCTGAGAGTGGTTAACTAACCAGATGGTAGTTCTCTTGTGTCAGCGGTACCATCAGAACTGGAGGCCACTGCTGGAGCTATAAAAGTTCTCAAGGAAGAGGCATTAACAAAGGTAAGCCTGAAGTCAGGCAGGGTCAGACTGCTGAGCCCTGGCTAGGCGGGGTGACGGATATGGGTAGAAAGGATTAAAATTGCCAGAGGACGTGGAATCCCTTGTGGGGCTTCCAGTTGGCGAAGTAGACCCATAATGGAGAATCTTTAGATGACTATTAATTGAGCATTTAAGGAGCTCAGTTGTCCCAGAGGTGAGTGAGCTGCTGGTAAAATTAGTGGCAAGGGTAGGCAGAGGGCATTGTGCCACTCTCGTACAGCCACCCCCATCACCCGCTTGTCAATATTTTATAATAGATAAAGATGTAATTAAACTGAAGCACTTTATTGACGTATTTAAGCAAATAAAATTAACATAAATACCTTTAGATTAGTTAATCATTTTAATAGTTTGAACACTGATTACTGACAGTATTATTAGAGAAATTGTTATAAAAATTTTGACAGGAATGACTTGACATGCTGAAAGAGCCTGGATTAATGTGTGTAACTATAGATATTGATATAACTCATGTCATTTTTATATTGACAAACAGGAGGTGAATGAACGTACTTAGGGCTCCCATTTTGCTACTAAAAATTGCATAAATCAGAAAAAGCCTTCCTTCAGGGAAAGCTAATGTATGTTTTTTTTTCAAAATTGGACACATCAGACTTCCCTTCACAGCTGTCATAAATTTTAGAATGACACAAATGAACAATGTGTAAGCCAAAATATGACCACTAGCAACCTCTTAGCTCTACAGGCATTTTGCCACTGATTAAGATTGCAGTACATCCTTCATAACCCCTGAAAGTAATTGGAAATAGGATATGAGGTTATACAGAATATGAGTTGTTATACAAATTGTACATGACGAGGATGAAAGATTGTACCTGCTGTCCAACAAACAAGTATTCCCTACAGAATGAGCAGCAAATAAAAACAAGGTGTAAATTCCACACACAAAACCAGGTTTTGTAAAATTTAAAATGAAACTTGCAGAATCTAAATTATTGTTATGATTTTTGTTCCTTAATTCATTCAAAGGATACTACTAGCTAACTGCAGCCTATTTATACAGCTGGTAATCGATACCAGCCTGCACTATGTCCAAATCAAGACATGGGGCATAGGTCAGCACAGACATGATAGGCCGAAGGGACTGTTTCTAAACTGTATAACTTTTGAGGTTAGGCCAGAGGGGATGGTGCTGACTTGGAACCATCAAGGGTACCCACCTGAACATCTAGAAACATAGAAACAAAGAAAATAGGTGTCCTTTGAGTCTGTACCACCATTCAATATGATCATGGCTGATCATGCAATCTCAGTATCCCATTCCCGCGCTCTCTCCATACCCTTGATCCTTTTAGCTACAAGGCCACGTCCAGCTCCTTTTTGAATATATCTAATGAACTGGTCCCAACAGCTTTCTGTGGAAGAGAATTCCACAGGTTCACAATTCTGTGAGTGAAGAACTTCTTCCTCATCTCAGTCTTAAATGGCTTACCCCTTATTCATAGACTGTGACCCCTAGTTCTGGACTTACCCAACGTTGGGAACATTCTTCTCACATCTAGCCTGTCTGGTCCATCAGGATTTTATGTTTCTGTGAGTGTCCCTCATCATTCTTCTAAATTCCAGTGAGTATAAGTCTAGTTGATCCAGTCTTTTTTCATATGTCAGTCCTGCCATCCCAGGAATCAGTCTGGTGAACCTTCGCTGGACTCCCTAAATAGTAAGAGTGTCCTTCCTCAGACTAGGAGACCAAAGCTACGCACAATACACAATGTGTGGCCTCACCAAGGTCCTGCATAACTGCAGCAAGGGATCCCTACTCCTATACTCAAATTCTTTCATTATGAAGGTCAGCATGCCATTACCTCGCTGCCTGCTGCATCTGCATGCCAACCTTCAGCGACTGTTCCACCATGACACTCAGATCTCTTCGCATCTCGCCTATCCCTGAACTGCCACCATTCAGATAATAACCTGCCTTCCTGTTTTTGTGCCCAGAGTGGGTAACTTCACATTTATCCATGTTATATTGCATTTGCCAAGCATTTGCCCACTCAGCCAGTCTGTCCAAGTCACCTTGCAGCCTCGTAGCACCTAATAGCCCACAGGCCACTCATGTGGCTGTTGGCTATCAGATGGAGGAATTACCAATCAAACATCATGGCCCAACTGTTGTGATCATTTTAAAAATGGAAAAATAAAACTGAACGAGTCTTCTCCCTCATTGTCTGTCCATTTTTATATTGGTAGCTCCTGCTATCGGGCAGTGGGTCTACCAATTTATCAACCTTAGAGAGCCTTCCACTGGTCCTTTTGCCTCAGAAGCCTACCCAACAATTATAATTGGGTTGGGGCAAGCTCATTCCCTGGCCTTTAATTGGGTATTCTTCCAAAATAGTGGCGGACAAATCTGGAACACACCATGTAGGATCCGACATTGGTCCCTATGCTCACCTCCCATTGTTGTAATGAAAATTCAGCTCACTGAATCATCAAGAGATTTCTGACCACTTTGTACCTGTTTATAAGGAGGATATAGAACAAATCACATTAACTGTTCTAAAGCTTTGAAATATTGATCATTGACATAAAATTATTGTCAAAACCTTTAAATTATAAAGCCAGTGATTGCGATCTTTCAAAGTAAGGTTTGTATTTAATACTGAGAAGACCTTCTGATTTTTACAGGAAGTCTTCAGATTCGGTACAATCTAGGAGGTACAAAGGAACCTTTCAGAATTGACCTAAACCACAGAAATCTGGCTAATGGACAACCACATAGTGTCAACATCAGCAGACATGGGAAGGAACTATATCTCCAGGTAAATATTGTTAATGCGGCAATACGATGCTTTGTCAGGTGAACTTGTGTCTCTACATGGTCGTTCTTTCACCTAAATACAGGGTGAGAGATGATGTTGTCTGGAAAGATCAAGACATTGTTGTGTACAGATCAACCGTATTGTTTTAGTCAGCCGAGGCACTTTTAATGTCAAAGCAAGATATTACAATGAAAATATTAATGGATTTTATTTAACTTTTTCCATGACCAACAATGAATCGCAATAGAAAAAATGCTCTTTTTGTCCACTTCAGAGATAAGTTTTTAATTCACACAAGTGTCTCTCAGAAACCAATTTTGATATGTTTAGTCTTTTCAACTTTCACTTCTAAAATATAACATTAAAGGTTTGAAATATTGTCATGCTAATATTTGGCCAGCCATTCTTCCTTCCCACATAGGAAAAGTATGGGATTCTATTATATTTTTTCCATTTTTTTGTAATGCAAATCATAAAATGTATACACACATTCTTCCATTCATACTTGAATTTCCATACACAGTTATCTAATATTGTGAAAACATTTCTCTTTTGCATGTCTTTTATATTAAACTCTCCCAGTTTTTGTTTTGTCTGGTGGGGTGTATTAATATCAGCACAACAAAGTTTAAAGAATCGTGACTTTATTAGACAGGGACAATTCAATTATTTAGTTCAGTTAGTATTTGAAATAAGTTGAGAATTCATGCTGGCTTCCAAAGCAGGGTCGATTTCACCAGGCTGCAGTCTGTGTGAAAGCTTTTAGTATGTAAATTGTTCTGATTGCTCTGGTGGGGTCCTGCAGAGCCCTAAATCCTTTCACGGCTGCTTCCACCACTCACAAGTCTGATAATTCACTCATCTCCCGAGTGAACCTTCTCTGAAATGCTTCCTTGAGCAAGGAGACTGAAATTACACACAATACTCCAGGAACAGTCTGTCACTATAGTGATAAAAATGGACGACTGATTTCCAAGTTCCATCACCTGATTTTACTATCTGGGACCTTCATGGCCTGTTTTTTTTAAAAGGGGAGAAAAAAAACTGACTTAAAATTACTGCAGCAATCAATTGACCACACCGTTTGGCCAAGCATAGAACACTGTGTGGAAAAAATGAAATTGTCAGAACTGAAATTAACATTTTTATCAAGGTTTGCTGAAAATAGTCCACACAGTTAGGGTTGAAGAGACACTCACATCCTATTTTGATTTAGAAACATAGAAAGATAGAATTTCCACAAACAAACATAGAAGCATAAATGTATGATAAGTTTCAAATACTGGAGATAAAATACACCATCTATAATTATCAAGCTTAGAAACAAGCGCCTATTGAACATAATGAAATATACAGACCAGCTGTATTTCAGGGAGCTTCTTTTGATAGAATAGAGGATTTTAAACTCTGTCCAACAGAATTTGTGACTGAAACAAGCCAGAGAAAGCTGTCGCTGTCAGTCTTTCACAAAGAAAAAGTGTTCAGTGACAAAGCTGAGTGAAAAGAAACATTAGAACACTGAGAATTCAAGGGACAACTAAACGTTATAGCATGGGGGAGGTGCAGTTGAGAACGGTCAAAGTGTACAAGTGAAAGAGTTGTACATTCTGAGCTTCCCTTAGTGGTCTCGAGTTTCAGTAGTGTCATGGCCAATGTAAGCTGATTGTTCTTCTGGAGATAGTCTCTTATAAACTGTAACCCGTCTTTTCCAGACTGGGTGTTATGGTCCATGAAGTTCATTTCATTTTCATATTTCCTATTTCTGAGATGTATTCAACTGGTAACAGAGAGAGGGTCTGAACTTGCAAAGATCTGTTGAGAGAGATAGAGAGACAGCTGTTGTGGCTTTATCCTGTAGGACTTCTTGATGTTACTCCCTTCTTCAAGCAACACAAATTTATTATCGTAGTATTTCACAAGGGAGAGCTTTGGTCATGTGACAGCTAGCTATTGCACACACTGATGACAATCCATATAAACAAAGTGGTTTAAATCTCCCATTGTCAAAGTATCAAGATACCACTGAAACCGATAATCATCAGCACCGTTTTTCATGTAGGGTTTTGATATATTTCCTCTGTGCCTGGGATTTTCTGCAGATAAGGTGGTGGGTCGTTACTGTCCTTACGTTTTTAGGAAGTTGCTAAAAATCATAGTAGATGCATTGGTGGTAATTTTTCAACATTACCTAAATTTGGCAAAGGTCAGGCTGAAAAGTTGCATGTATATCCCTTCTATTAAAAAAGCAGGGAGGGAGAAAGCAGGAAACTTTAGGCCAGTTAGTTTGATGTCTGTCATGGGGAAGGTGCTAGAATTGATAATGAAAGAGATTAAAGATATGCACTTAATAAAACATAAGAAGATCAGAAGTTAGCATGCTTTCAGTCAAAGGGAAATTATATTTATCAAGTTATTGGGAATCTTTGAAGGAGTAGCATGCCCTGTAGATAAAGGGGAGTCCATAGATGTATTATATTCGTTTCCGGAAGGCATTTGATTAGTTACCACGTCAAATGTTGTTGCAGAAAATGAAAAATAGACGTGTAGTGAGTAGCATTTTAGCATGAATAGACAATTGACTGGGTGGCAGAAATCAGAATATGCAATAAGTTAGTCTTCGTCTAATTGGCAGGATGAGATGAATAGGGTCCCACAGAGTTTTGTGCTAGGGCCTCAACTTCTTACAAATTACATCAATGACCGATGACTTAGGTGAGGGGAGCAAAGGCATGGGAGCTATATTTGCAGATGACACCAAAGTATGTACAAAAAATGTTGTGAAGAAGACATAAGGAAGTTAGTGTTAGATACAGACAGATTGAGAGAGTGGGTAAAAATCTGGCAGATGGAGTATAATGTGAGAAAATGTGAAGTGCCATAAATCTAGTCCACAAGATCATTTTCTACACAACCTTTGCCAATTTTATTTATCTATATCTAATCATCTTAATCTAATACATGAAGATTAAAATCTCCGACAATTATTACAGTGCTTTTCTTAAAAGCATATATTATTTTTGATTTTAACCTCTGTCCAACAGTATAACTGCTGTCAAAGGGACCTATAAACCTTTTTCACAAGTGACTTCTTTCCTATCTCTACCCAAACTCATTCTACCTATTGATGCTCTGAAGCAAAGTCATTCCTTACGCTGTACTGATTCCATCTTTTCGGAGCTGCCCACCTCCTTTGCCTTTCTTCCAGTCTTTCTGAAATGTCAAATACCCTTAAATGTTCAGGTTCCGGTTGTGATCACATTTTGCAATCTGTAGTGGCTATTATGTCACACTCATTTAGTTATATTTGCACTTTCAGTTCCAGTTATGAATGTTGCACACATTTGGATAAAGAACTTTCAATTGCTTTTTTTAATCAATTTTCCCTACTCTGACCTTAGTTTCTAGTGCATTGTTCTGCCTGTATACGCTATAACTTCAGATCACACACTGGTTATCATCATCTGCATCATTACCCTCTGCTATTACCTTGTCCCTTATCTTTAGTTTTTCAAATCTCTCCTCAATTGAACACACACCCCGTCCCCAGCTATTAAATTTAAAACCTCCTCTCTCATGCGCTACTGCCCACAATTCATCAGTAGACTGGTCCCATTTAGGTGAACTCCTCATCCTCCCTGCTGTTCCTGTACGCCACAGAAGTTGCTACAGCCTTGAACCAGTTTGATAATTGCAAAAGCTGATGTTCCTCCATTGTTACCTTTTGGATCCACATACCTGTCTCTCTTACTGTCAGACCAAGTTTAAATTGTGTGACTGTCTCCTTGAATATGTTCAAATGTTTTTCTTCATCCTGATGCATCGCAATGTCCTCATCTCAGACTCCAGTTCATCAAGTCAGAACTGAAAATTGTCAATCTGCAGACAATTACTCCAGATGTATTCATTGTGTCACACAGGTACCAAATAGTTTCAATAAGTAACCCATCCTTGCATCTTTATTTTGTTCATATAAACTAATTAGGTTTCAAGTTTAGAATATCACTCAATGGCTATCCATAATTATATTATTGAATATAACCAGTAGAGATAGTGCTGTAGTGATAAGGTCATTAAACTGATAATCCAGAGGCCCAGGCTAATACAATAACTACAGGGATTCAAATTCCACCATGGCAGTTGGAATTACAAATTAATCTCAGTGATGGTGACAACAAAATTATCTTTGATTGTTGTTAAAACTCTCTGAAATCTGAAATGGTCTGAGAACCATTCCATTCAAGGAGAATTGGGGATACGCAACAAATGCTAAACCTAACCCTGCATTCCATGAGAAAATAAAATATGAGTTAAGGGAAATTGAATAAATAGATCCAACATCCAAAATACAGTACTCTTGTGACCATGACCATATCAGATTTTCCCAGATTTTAGACACAGGACCTGTAATCAACTCAACAAGAAACCAGTAAACTGCACTTGCTTGCTTGGTATCACCAGGTAACACAGCAAAGACTATAATAATTTCAGGTCACTATGTTTCTTGTTGTATGTATTGGAAGAGGGGATGACCTGGAAATGGGAGCCAGTAACCAAGAAGGAGGAGAAGGTAGCAATGAGAAATGGGAGTTACCAGAGGCTAACAGCAGCTCATGGCTTTAATGCACTCCTTCATCTTTCTGGCTTTGAAATTAAGAAAGTAATTTTATCCTTTTCCGGCAGAAAATATGCATTAAACCTCTAATTAGTAAATGCAAAGACTGCAATGCCTGTTTGTGCCACAGGCCTTGGGAGTCTCTTTTGAAGCCTGTGCTAATATCACAAACAGACTTCTGCCTTAGAATGTGTGCACTATCCACCAAATTGCAATTTGCCCAAAATTGATTAAACTGAATATCAGAAATGTTCAATTTTCAGACCATTCTGGTTTCAGATTATATTAGTGCTTAAGTTTAGATGAGAATTGAACTTAAAATTTACCAATTACCTGACTGCACAGATACCTTATGCCTCCAGGTTTCAGCACGCAGATTTCCCTATCT